TGACAGTAAATGACAGTAACAAGTCATAAATAACACATTACAGTTTTGAAGTAACTTGCCCAACATTTACCAACAAAATACATCGTGTACTTATTAAACTGTATTTCATAAACAAGTTGCAGTTGTCCAAATAAGAAACAAAATTATCATCTAACTTTAGGGAGCGTTTGTAGTTTTCCCCGATTGATAAAATGTCCTTTATTTGTCCTTTATTGAGAATATTGCAGTGTTACAACAGCAAAGTACAAGAACAGAAAAACAAAACAGAGCTATGATGAGAATTAAAGCTGCACTGTGTAGTTTTTCTGTCTGCGACGTGCTGCTTCAGTGAAATGGAGTCGTCACATTCAAAACTCTGAAAAACACCCATTTATATTCTGAGTTTGATATTCCATTGATTTCATGGTTGTTCGGTGTCTGCAGGTGTAAAAATAGACGTCTCTATCCTCCCTCTCTTTGTCTAACGCACTCTTTCTTTCTCTCTTTCTCTCCCTTCCTCTTTTTCTCCTTCTCCCTCTACTCACCCTCTCTTTCTCTTTCTCTCTCCTCCGACTTTCACCTCCCTCTGTCTCTCTTTCTTCCTCTCTCTCTCCCTCACACTTCTTCCTCCTTCCCTCCATCATTTTTTTTCTCTTTCATCCCACCTTCTCTCACTTTCTTCTCTCTTCTAAGTCTCATCTCTAACCCTCTCTCTTTCACCTCTCTCTTTCTCTCTTGTACCTGTACTCTCCTGCTCTTTCTCTCATCCCTCTCTCCTCCCTGCAGTCGATGGTCCATATACTCTCTTCTCCTCTCTGTCTCTCTTTCTTCCTCTCTCTCTCACGCTTCTTCCTCCTTCCCTCTCTCCGTCATTTTTTTTCTCTCTCATCCCCCTCTCTCTACCCACCTTCTCTCACTTTCTTCTCTCTTCTATGTCTCATCTCTAACCCTCTTCTCTTTCACCTCTCTCTTTCTCTCTTGTCCCGTCTCTCCTCCCCCTCTCTCATCCCTCTCTCCCTGCAGTCAACTCTCTCATCCTTGTCTTTTTCTCTCTCCTCTCCCTCTTTCTACCCCCCGTCTCTCTTCCTTCCTCTCATCCCTCTCTCTCCCTCTTTCTCTCTCATCTCTCTTTCCCCTTTTCTCCCTCCCTCGTCTCTGTTTTCCCCTTTTCTTTCTCTCATCCCTCTCTCCTCCGTGCAGTAAACGGACCATAGACTCTCTCCTCCTTGTCTCTCTCTCTTCTCTCTGTCTCTCCCTCCCTTTTTTTTCTCGTCCCCGTGTGTCTCCTTCCCCCTCTTTCTCTCCCTCTATCTCTCATCCCTCTCCTCCCTGCAGTCAACTCTCTCATCCTTGTCTTTTTCTCTCTCCTCTTGCTCTTTCTACCCCCCTTCCTCCCTCCATCTCTCTTCCCTCCCTCTTTCTCTCTTGTACCTGTACTCTCCCTCTCTTTCTCTCATCCCTCTCTCCTCCCTGCAGTCGATGGTCCATATACTCTCTTTCTCTCTCTCTCTCTCTTTTCTTCCTCTCTCTCTCACGCTTCTTCCTCCTTCCCTCTCCTCCATCATTTTTTTTCTCTTCTCATCCCCTCTCTCTACCCACCTTCTCTCACTTTCTTCTCTCTTCTAAGTCTCATCTCTAACCCTCTCTCTTTCACCTCTCTCTTTCTCTCTTGTCCCTGTCTCTCCTCCCCCTCTCTCATCCCTCTCCTCCCTGCAGTCAACTCTCTCATCCTTGTCTTTTTCTCTCTCCCTCTCCCTCTTTCTACCCCCCGTCTCTCTTCCTTCCTCTCATCCCTCTCTCTCCCTCTTTCTCTCTCATCTCTCTTTCCCCTTTTCTCCCTCCCTCGTCTCTGTTTCCCCCTTTCTTTCTCTCATCCCTCTCTCCTCCGTGCAGTAAACGGACCATAGACTCTCTCCTCCTTGTCTCTCTCTCTTCTCTCTGTCTCTCCCTCCCTTTTTTTCTTTCGTCCCTGTGTCTCCTTCCCCCTCTTTCTCTCCCTCTATCTCTCATCCCTCTCCTCCCTGCAGTCAACTCTCTCATCCTTGTCTTTCTCTCTCCCTCTTGCTCTTTCTACCCCCCATTCCTCCCTCCCTCTTTCTCTCTTGTACCTGTACTCTCCCTCTCTTTCTCTCATCCCTCTCTCCCCCCTGCAGTCGACGGTCCATATACTCTCTTCTCCTCTCTGTCTCTGTCTCTTTTTCTTCATCTCTCTCGTGCTTATTCCTCTCTCCCTCTCTCACACACTTCCCTCTTCCTCTCCCTCACTCCCTCTCTTCCTCTCCTCTTCTCTCTCTCCTCCCCTGCAGTCATCCCATCCGCAGACACCTGAACAATAGTACCTCTCCTCTCCGCTCGTCCTCTTTGTGTTTTCAGGAGGGACTCTGTTTTCAAATGTCTCTTTTTCACCTTGACATTTAAGACTCTAGATGTCCCCTCAGCGCAGACCAGACCCGCGGCCGCCATTTTACTCCTGCCACAAAATGGACGAATTACTTCTTTTGTTTTTGTCTCTGAAGCTCCCGACGCAATCCAGGCGGAGATGTGTCCCACTTTCAGCACTGACGGATGGGTCAAATGCAGAGGACGAATCGCCCAACGGGGACTTTAAGGCGAACCTTATTAACCTTAAATTTAAACGTCCCAGATTACGTTATTTTCTGATCGGTTATAATGTTGTTTCCTCGTCACAAACAGACCTGGAGTTGTAAATTCCCCTTTAACTGCTATAGTTATAGTTCTGTTTATTTAGATCAGATTATTTGTGGCCTGCTGTAGCTTTAGATCTTTACCTTTAACCTATCCAAGACCCTATCCACACTAGTGCGTATTCGAGCCGTTTTCGTTGTGGATGCAGTGTTCGTCCACACTAATCCGATGGAAGACGCCTCCAGAGACAGAACGGTCTGGTGCCGCGAGCTCCCACGAATTTATTTGAGTGCAGATCAGATCCGGCACTGTGTGGACGCCTGAAAACGCTGATACGCTGATGTAGTTCTATGCGCCGCGAAGTAATTCTCCGCCGAAACGCTAAGAGGCTAGAATATATGTCCATTCATATATACGGTCTGTGCGTACGACCTGCAGACGTATAATCTCTGAAAAGTTTAACATGAATCATCTCCAACGCGACACAAACACAGAACAGACTCACCATCAGCAGAACACCCCTCTGTCACAGAAAGAACACTCATATTCCACTGAGTCGTGTCCTTTAGTCCGACAGAAGTTGAACTGCATCAGCGCACAAGGAGGGAGCTGTTTTTTGAGCGCTCAGTTTATGCAAATGAGCCATGTGGTTTTAAGTTTCATTTCTGTAAAACGTAAACAAATGTGCTCAAAGCTGTGTCGATAGGGAAGACTTGCGGACACAGAAACGACGTGTCTGGACGCAAATCGTTTCCGATGCGATGATACGGTGATTTGTTTCTGTGTAAACGTAGCCTAAAGGTAAAAAAAAAAGTAGCTATTGACTTGAAAACTACCGCTTCATGACATCACAAGGTGGAACAGAGCATTTTGAGCTTTGGAGATGTAGACAAACTAATAATAAAGTGTTGCTCAAACATGTGAATGAAATAATGAATGACATAACAATCTATAACACGACTTAAAGCTCACAAAAGTCAATCAGTTTTGCTTAATATCGGACTTTTAAATTACAAGAATTGGTTGAGTGAGAAGGAGACACGGTGTTCTTTTGGATTTGTTTCGACTTGGTCATAAATGTTCCACAGTACGGCATTAAAATGATAAATAAAACTTTGATTTATTCAGTTACAAGCACCTTTCCTATTTCTTATTTTTCTTATTTAAAAAAAAAGAAAAAGACTTGTCATCTGCTTGTCTCACCTTCTTGTCTCCACGCCATACTCTGGAACATTCAAAACAACATCTCCATGGAAACAAGATGTTAGCAGACCCCCCCACCGTGCAGAAAAATCACACAGTGCGCCTTTAATTCTAGCATTTCCCAGCTATTAAAGAGATTTCTGTTCGTATCGAATGACTCGGTGTAGTTTTTCTCTCTCATTTCCTGTTCTACATTGGGCCTAATCGCTCATTATAAGATCTTTGTTTTTCCGACGGAGAATCCGAGGCGCGCGGGTCACGGGTTCAAGAATCCACAACGAGGAAAATCAAATATATCGACGTTCTCGTTTATTCCGAGTGGCTCAAACCAGTTCAATGAAAACAGCTGGACTCCCTCCTCCCACTGTCACTCCATCTCCTCTGTTATCTCCACATCATGAGGCTGAATACCGCTCCACCGCTTTGTCTCGTACTGTTAATTTAAAGCTGCGTTGTGTAACATTTCTAGTGGAGGGTCCGTCCCCTGCCTGTTGCTATGGTTATGTCATTGCTCTACCTTACATTTATTCAATTACAAGTGGTTTTATAGCTCGAAAATACCTAGAAAAACAAGAATTCTGACTCTGATCTTGGTCTGGTTTGGTTTCCATGGAGATAGAAAGGTTTAATGCCACACTGTGAAACATTCCAGACAAAACAATAACATCTCCATGGAGAAAAGCAGATTTTTAGTGTCTTAAAAAAACAGGAAAAATAGAGAGTTTGCAGTGGTCCAAAGTTGAGTTTATAAGAGCACTTTAGAACTCTCAGAAATCAGCGCAGAGTTTACAATCGCAGTAAAGCTAGAATGCAAATGTGCACTTCCTGATTTCACTTATTTTCAGATTTATTTTGACCTCAAGAGCTACTTATACAAATCCTATCGTATGTAAAAGAAAAAAAACGGCTCTTAAAATTGTGAATTCTATACTAACTAGAATTCTAACATTGTCATTATTATTGGTAAAATTGTAAAAAAAAAAAATTAAATAAATAAATAATTACACCTTCTTTTTTTTCATTCTTGCTTGCACTTCAAAAAAATTTATTTCAGCGGAATTTACAATATTAAAATCTGCCAAATATTCTGTACGTCTGTCTTTTTGAGTGAGTGAGTTGAGTCTTTTTTGTGTTTTTAAACGGTGTGTGTGTGTTTTTGTGATTTCCCACAGTGCACCAGTCCATGATGCCGGCCCAGGGCTCCGGGTTCCACGCTCCCCTGGTCCAGTCCAGCCCCGGTCTGTCTGTGCCCCCCGCCCCCCAACAAAGCAATATGAACCCTGCCCCCATACAGGGCATGCTGCTCCAGTACCCCACCATGCAGGCCTATCAGGTATGGAACAACTCTCTCTCTCTCTCTCTCTCTGTCTGTACGTCTGTCTGTCTGTCCTCCTCTCTCTCTCTCTCTCTCTCTCTCTGTCTGTCTCTCTCCTCTCTGTCTCTCTCCTCTCTCTCTCTCCTCTCTGTCTCTCTCCCTCTGTCTCTCACTCTCTGTCTGTCCCTCTGTCTCTCTCTATCTCTCTGTCTGTCTCTCTCGCTCTCTATCTGTCTGTCTGTTTCTCTCTCTCTCTCTCTCTCTCTGTCTTCTCTCTCTCTGTCTGTCTCTGTCTGTCTCTCTCTCTGTCTCTCTCTATCTGTCTGTCTGTTTCTCTCTCTGTCTGTCTGTCTGTTCTCCTCTCTCCCTCTGTCTCTCTCTATCTCTCTGTCTGTCTGTCTTTCTCTCTCTCTCTTCCTCCCTCTTTCTATCTCTCTTTCTCTGTCTGTCTGTCTGTTTCTCTCTGCCTCTCTCTCTCTCGCCTGTCTCTTTCCCTCTTTCTCTTTCTTTGTCTGTCTTTCTTGCTCTCTCTCTCTCCCTCCCTCTTTCTCTCTGTCTGTCTCTCTCCCTCTCTCTCTCTCTGTGTCTGTCTCTTTCTCTCTTTCCCTCTTTCTCTTTCTTTGTCTGTCTTTCTTGCTCTCTCTCTCTCCCTCCCTCTTTCTCTCTGTCTGTCTCTCTCCCTCTCTCTCTCTCTGTGTCTGTCTCTTTCTCTTTCCTCTTTCTCTCTCTTTCTCTGTGTTTCTCTCTCTCTCCCTCCCACCCACTTTCTATCTCTCTTTCTCTCTTTCCTCTTTCTCTTTCTCTCTCTCTCTCTTCCTCTTTCTATCTTTCTTTCTCTCTGTCTGTCTCTCTCTCTCTGTCTGTCTCTCTCTCTCTCTCTCTCTCTCTCTTTCTCTCTGTCTGTCTCTCTCTCTCTCTCTCTCTCTGTCTCTCTCTCTCTCTGTCTGTCTCTCTATCTCTCTTTCTCTCTCTCTTTCCTTCCTCTTGCCCTCTCTCCACATCTCTCTCCTCCCTCTCTCCCCATCTCTCTCCTCCCTCTTTCCATCTCCCTCTCTCCTCCCTCTCTCCCAGTCTCTCTATTTTCCTGTCTCCATCTCTCTCTTCCCTCGCCCTCTGTCCATCTCTCTCCTCCCTTCTTCTTCCTCTCTTCTGTCAGATCACATAATACACCCAGTCAACCTCTCTCTTTCTCTCTCTTCTCTCCCTCTTTCTTTCTCTCTTTCCCTCCTCCCTCTCTCCTGTGTCAGATAGCATAATGTAACCCCGTCAGTAATTGAATGGGGTCCCTCAGACCGTCTTATTTTGTTATGAATGACATTTGCGCTCGTCTCTCGGGGGCCGCTGCTTTTGTATTCTTGTCACGCCGTAAAAAAAAAAAAAAAAAAAAAGGTTTCATTTTGGACTCGGTGCAGATATTAAACTGAAAGATCACTGTTTTACCCCACACCTGTTTGTCCTTGAGTTCTGGAAAGTGCCGTACGCGTCACTCAAACGGGTTTTTACAAAGGACGGACGGTTTGGGGGGTTTAAATGTCTCAGATTTCTATTGGAAAAACGTCACTATTTTAGACTACTTCAATACATGTTTTCATACGGTTCAATTGAATAAAAACTAAAAAATATATATGTATGTACAGTAAATCGATCAAATAAAATGTTAAAGCTGAACTATGTAACATTTCTACCTAAAATATTCGGCATTAAACGCACATATTATGCTGTTTTTGGGCAGTTTTAATGTTGTTTTCTCGTCAAAAAACAAAACTTCGAGTTGTGTTTTGTTTCATTCACACATGTTTAACGCACAACCCCTTCTTCTCTCAAACCGAAAACACTCTGTGCCACTTTGTGATGTCATCAAGTGCTCCACTGTGTTGTTAAACTCCACACACCTTCACTAGAATCAGCTGGATAATTTTAGCCTTGGAATTGTGAATCTCTACTGAACTAAAGATAAAAATGTAGCTGTTGGTTTTAAAATGATCTGACTTTTTTTGCCGAAACATTATTTAAAAACAAAAAATCTTTTGGACATCGGCCATGTGAGTGTGCGATGCAGTTTTTCACTTTTGTCTTGCTGCTCCTTGCATTTGCACCTCTACAAGAATTTTGGTGCGCCTTTTCTGGTTCTTTTGTGTGTGTAGCTCTTAACATGAAATTTACGGCTTCATGACATCACAAGGTGGAACAGAGCGTGTTGAGCTTTGAGTAATCCTGCATTATTAGTCTGTCTACGTCTCCAAACACGTGTGAATGAAACAAAACACAACTAAACACAACATGCTTAAAGCTCAAAAGAGTCAATTTTGTGTAATATAGGAGCTTTAAAAAAATGTATCTACCTAACATTTATTGAAACTCGAAAAATACAATAAAAAGTGATGCATAAAAATAGTGATGTTAAAGGTGCACTGTGTAACTTTTTGGTTGGGGGTTCGTCACCTATGGTCATGAACTTTGGGTAATGACCGAAAGAACGAGATTGTCGATACAAATGGTCGAAATGAGTGGCTGGGCGCTCCCTTACAGACAGGGTGAGGAGCTCGGAGTAGAGCCGCTGCTCCTCCACGTCAAGCGGAGCAGCTGACTCATGTCCCACCAGAAGGAGGCCTCGAGGAAGACCCAGGACACGCTGGAGGGACTATGTCTCTGGGCTGGCCTGGGAACACCTTGGGGTCCCCCCTGGAGGAGCTGGAGGAAGTGTCCAGGGTGAAGGAAGTCTGGGAGTCCCTGCTTAGACTCCTGCCCTCGGATAAGTGGAAGAAAATGGATGGATGGATGTCTTTGCTTTGGAATGTTCCACAGTGTGACATTAAACAGCTCTACTTTACATTATTTATTTATTTATTTTGCACGTACAACATAACAATAAAAAAAAAATCACACTAGATAAAAAATTAGGTGCTGGAAGAGGAAAAAAAACAACTAAAAGGGCTCATATTAAAGCCTCCACCTTATGAATAAATAATAATAATAATAATAATAATAATAATAATAATAATAATAATAATGCATCAGTTTTATATAGCACTTTTTTGGACTTTTAAAGATGCTTAAATTAAATTGACATTAAAAACTGAACATTATCGCTGTGCATAAAAAATACATAAGTAAAATTACGTTTAAACACCATGGATTAAATTAATTTGATTCAAACATGGATTAAAACACAATGAAACATCCACAATTGAATGATTATCAAACATTACCATGAAATATCAAACATTTCCTCACACTTGTTAAACAACAACAAACAACAGCCAGATGTGAAACCAGATTATTCAATTACAGGTGGTTTTAATACTAATTGTTTAATGGTTTTGGTCTCCATGAAGATAGAAAGGTTTAATGCCATACTGTGAAACATTCCAGACAATGCAATAATTGTAATCTTTATGAAGAAAAGCCTTTGACGGACCTTCCACCAGAAAAGTTACACAATGCAGCTTTGAAAATGTACCGCTGAAATAAATAAGCCCACACGTTTCTTTTTCTTTGACTTTGGCTGTGCTGTGTCTCTCAGCAGGTGTCCGTGCCGCAGCAGCAGTACCAGCAGCCTGTGTTTGTCCCGTGTCAGCCCGGACAGCAGGGGGCAGTGTCTGTGGGAGGGGTCCAGCCGTGCTACAGCCTCCTGCCCCCAAACCAGCACACCACCATGAGGTAAAGGTCAAAGGTCACGTCTTATGTTGTGTGTTTGTAGAAGAATAAAGAAACTAGAGCGGAGAATCACAGGGTCTGACATGGTTCGATACACAATGTTTACAGTTTTATAAGACTCAAGTATTTCTTTGTTATATCACTGTCACGGATTTTTATTGCATAAACATTGTTGGGCAAGTAACTTTAAAACTGTAATGTGTTATTTATGACTTGTTACTGTAATTTTAAAGCAATTTGTTACATCACAATATCACTGTATTTAAAATGTAAAACATTACACGACTATTGCAGCACTTTAAATTACTGCCAAAGATGCCGAACTTTTGTGTCATATATGGACTGAACCAGGACTAAACCAGGTCTAAACTAGGACTGAACTAGGACTGAACGGAGGACTGAACCAGGACTAAACCAGGTCTAAACTAGGACTGAACTAGGACTGAACGGAGGACTGAACCAAGACTAAACTACTGCTGAACTAGAACTGAACCGAGGACTGAACCGAGGACTAAACCAGGACTAAACCAGAACTGAACCAGATCTGAACCAGGACTAAAAATCGGGACTAAACCAGGACTGAACCAGGATTGAACCAGGACTAAACCAGGACTAAATCAGGACTAAACCAGGATTAAAACAGGACTGAACCAGATCTGAACCAGGACTAAATCAGGACTAAACCAGGATTAAAACAGGACTAAAACAGGCCTAAACCAGGACTAAACCAGGACTGAACCAGGACTAAACCAGGTCTAAACTAGGACTGAACTAGGACTGAACGGAGGACTGAACCAAGACTAAACTACTGCTGAACCAGAACTGAACCCAGGACTGAAACGAGGACTAAACCAGGACTAAACCAGATCTGAACCAGGACTAAAAATCGGGACTAAACCAGGACTAAACCAGGACTGAACCAGGGCTGAACCAGGACTAAAACAGGACTAAATCAGGACTGAACCAGAACTGAACCAGGACTAAACCAGGACTAGACCAGGACTAAACCAGGACTAAACCAGGACTAAAACAGGACTAAAACAGGCCTAAACCAGGACTAAACCAGGACTAAACCAGGACTAAACCAGGACTAAATCAGGACTAAACCAGGACTAAACCAGGACTAACCCCAAGCCCGTGGAGCTGGGTGTCCACGGTCTTGTCCTGACATTCGTAACCATAACGATGACGTTTCACCGCTGCTGATATTGTGGTGATTTTAGTGAATTTATATGAAGAAAAATGAAAAACTCACCATTTTAATACTGCTTTTTGAGACCTACCAATGAAAAATGGGAAAAAAAATCTTATTGATCTCATCATTTTCCTTATGTCTGAGCAAAGTTTTGGCAACTTTGTCTCATGAAATCTTTTATTTTTGACATTAATGATGAACTTTAAACACTCCTGCATGTAACAATGAAAAATATGGCTTTTGTTAAGTTTAGTTCTGGTTTGGTCCTCCTTTAGTCCCCTTTTAATCCTCATTTATTCCTAATTCTGGTTAAATCCTGGTTTGAATCGTCGAAAATCCTGGTTTTATTGTAGTTTAGTCCTGATATAAGTTTAGTTTAGACTTGTTTAACTCCTGGTTTTCACTTTTATTACTTCTTGTCTACTCCTTTAGTGCATTATCTGTACATTTTTTTTCTTTTTGGCGTTAATAATCACTCATTTTAGACCCTCTTGCATGTAAAAACGAACACATGTTTAATTGTGTTTACATCTAAATCCTCAATTACATTAACTCGTGTTTTCGCCGCCGTCCTCTCTCTGATTAATGTTCTCGCACAGTGACATTTCTTAATCACTAAAACTCGCCACAATTGCGTTAAGATGCACTTATTATCCCGTTTCGTGTCCGGGCTCATCCATCACGGCAGATCCGCGCGCATATTTTTAGCGAGGGAAAAACAGCTTGACTAGTGAATCCCTCGGTGAGGAAAAGCCAAGGTTATGAGTCTTCTCTATGGGGGAAAAAAATGATGTTATTACCGTAATACATGTTCTAAAGGGGCACCGAGAACAGCTCATGAATGCCAAATCTGACACTGTCTCATAGTTTATACAGCATTATGCTTTTCTAGTCTGACAAGCTCGGCGCATCCCCTCTCATTAAAACTGATTGATGGAACCAGTTCACCTTAAGCTAAATCATTATTTTGCTTTTCCTCCGTGGACCTCATCAATCTGCACACGAGCGACAGGCCGGGACTACAGGGAGGACTGTAATATGACGAGGCTTAGTATAATCCTGCTTAAGTCCTGGTTTAGTTTTGGTTTGGTCCTGGTTTAGTCCTGGTTTGGAACTGGTCTGCTGCACTCACACTAGTCTAATCGATCCAGGCCCAGGCTCGGCACTGTGGGACTTTGGTCCAGTTGGATGAGGTGGGACACGATTTTACTTTTCGAGCCATGACAGGTGCGCTGATGTTACTCATACGAGGAAAACAGTCCAGTCTAAGGCCCCATCCACACTAGTACATATTTGAGTCGTTTTTTTTGTTGTGGATGCAGTGTTCGTCCACACTAATCCGATGGAAAACGGCTCCAGAGACGGAAAGATCAGGTGCCGCCAACTCCCACAAATTCATCTGAGTACAGATCTGATTCGGCACTGTGTGGACGCCTCAAAACGCTGATACGCTGATGTAGGAGCTCTAGTTGCGTCACTGTGACTTGCATCTTCCTGATTCACTGGGTTTGTGACATCGGTCATGTGACGCTATTGTCGAATACAGTTTAAATAAACCATAGACAAATGGGAAACAGCGTAACTAGAACTACTTGCTGGTACACGGTCCACGAAAAGACTGTTTTTGCGCTTGTCATCTTCCTCGGCTCAAAATCGGCTGCTGCAACTTACTAGTTTTTCAGGTGGCTCGCGTTAAACGGCGAAATATTGTTCTAGAGTTCTGTGCGTATGACCTGCAGACGTATAATCTCTGAAAAGTTTAATAGGATAGAAGCACCATCAGCAGAACACCCCTCTGTCACAGAAAAAACACTCATATTCCACTGAGTCGGGTCCTTTTTAAGTCCGACAGAAGCTGAACCGCATCAGCGCACAATATCAAGCTGTTTTTTTGAAGCTTAGTTTATGCAAATTAACCATGTGGTTTTAAGTTTTTTTTCTATAAAACGTAAACAAATGTGCTCAAAGCTGTGTGGATAGCGAAGGATTGCGGACACAGAAACGACGTGTCTGGATGCAAATCGTTTCCGATACGGTGATTCCTTTCAGTGTAAACGTAACCTGAAACACACAGTGAATCCACACTCACCTTCCATGAGGACTGGACTGTGACGAAAGTTTAGCTCCTCCTGTCCTCGCTCCTCCACGCTATTTTTACATCCATAAACTCTTGGAGGAGCGCGTTTCACAAGAGGACTCATATCTGCCTCACTGTTTAATAGATATTTCTGCCGCTGGACTTATTTTCTCCGCTAAAAACTTTGGCTCTGCTGCGCGACATGTAAACAAACAGCACCACATGTTTACGTCATCAGGTGTAACTGCGGGTTCTTAAGTCCTAGTGTGAGTGTGCCCAGTAACTCTCTGAAGTCCTGGTTTAGTCCTCCTTTAGTCCTGGTTTAGTCATAGTTCAGTCCTAGGTTTGTCCTGCAATCAAACAGTAGAACTAGAGAGAGTACAAACATTTATCTATAACCCAACAGAAAAGTGAGAGCGAGGAGGAGAGGTGACTTTGGGCCTGTCCCAGCTGTGAGGGGGGCACATGGGGGGCACATGATTTATGTGACTGTGGGACAGAGAGGAGGGGGGGTCCCACGAGGACCACATGTCAGAGAAAGACCCCGAAACCAGGTCTACACAAGGACTAAACTAGGACTGGAACAAGTCTACACAAGGACTAAACTAGGACTGGAACAGGACTAAACAAGGACTGAAACAAGTCTACACAAGGACTAAACTAGGACTGGAACAGGACTAAACAAGGACTGGAACAGGACTAAACAAGGACTAAACCAGGTCTACACAATGACTAAACTAGGACTGGAACAGGACTAAACAAGGACTGAAACAGGTCTACACAAGGACTAAACTAGGACTGGAACAGGACTAAACAAGGACTGGAACAGGACTAAACAAGGACTAAACCAGGTCTACACAATGACTAAACTAGGACTGAAACAGGACTAAACTAGAACTAAACTAGGACTGAAACAGGTCTACACAAGGACTTAACTAAGACTGGAACAGGACTGAACCAGGACTGAACCAGGACTGAACCAGGACTAAACAAGGACTAAACAAGGACTAAACAAGGACTGGAACAGGACTAAACAAGGACTAAATAAGGACTAAACTAGGACTAAACTAGGACTGAAACAGGTCTACACAAAGACTTAACTAAGACTGGAACAGGACTGAACCAGGACTGAACCAGGACTAAACAAGGACTAAACAAGGACTAAACTAGAACTAAACTAGGACTAAACTAGGACTGAAACAGGTCTACACAAAGACTTAACTAAGACTGGAACAGGACTAAACCAGGACTAAACAAGGAATAAACTCGGACTGGAACAGGACTAAACTAGTACTGAAAAAGAACTGAAACAAGACTAAAGAAGGACTAAACGAGGACCAAGGTACAAGGACTAGGACTAAATTTGAACTACCAAACAGGGTACACTTTATAGTCTTGGTTCAGTTCCGGTGTAGTCCTGTTTTAAGCCTGGTTTAATCAGTTTAGTTTCAGTCCTAGCTTAGTCCTGGTTCAGTCCTAGTTTAGTCCCGTTCCAGTCCTGGTTTAGTCCCGTTCCAGACCTGGTTGTAAGTAGGTCACTCTGAAGCCAGAATGATTTATGTGAGAGGGAGAGAAAGTCCCAGGAGATCTGGACTTCACCTGGACCAGCTGTAGACCGAGTTGAGCCTGGTCCCCGCGGCAACGGGATGTACAGCCTGGTCCCCGCGGCAACGAGACATACAGCCTGGTCCCCGCGGCAACGGGATGGAGCTTAGCAACAACCAGATGTCCCATTCTAATGAAGCAGCAGCAGCTTAAGGAGAGATTTCTTTGTCATCTGTTTTAAAGTGTTTGAATAAGCACTTTTCAGTCAGAACTAGACCAGGACTAAACTAGGACTGAACCAGGGCTGAACCAGGACTAGACCAAGACTAAAACAGGGCTAAAACAGGGCTAAAACAGGACTAGACTAGACTAGACTAAACCAGGACTGGGACTAAAACAGGGCTAAACCAGGATTAAACCAGGACTAAACCAGGACTAAACCGGGACTAGACTAGACAGACCAGGACTAAACCAGGACTGGACCAGGACAGAACTAGGACTGAACCAGTGCTAAACAAGGGCTGAATTAGGACTAAACTGTACTGATTTTGCACTTTTCAACCAGGACTAGACTGGGACTCGACCGGACTGAACCAGGTTGAACCAGGACTAAACCGGACTAACTGGGACTGAACCAGGGCTGAACCAGGACTAGACCAAGACTAAAACAGGGCTAAAGGATTGACAGACTAGACTAGGACTAACAGGACTAGACTAGACTAGACCAGGACTAAACCAGGACTGGACCAGGACTGGACAAGACTAGACCAGGACTGACCTTGACAGAACTAGGACTGAACCAGTGCTAAACAAGGGCTGAATTAGGACTAAAACTGATTTTTGCACTTTTCAGGACTAGAACTCGACCAGGACTGAACCACTGAACCAGGACTAAGCAGGACTAAACCGGGACTAAACTAGGACTGAACCAGGGCTGAACCAGGACTAGACCAAGACTAAAACAGGGCTAAAACAGGGCTAAAACAGGACTAGACTAGGACTAGACCAGGAGTAAACCAGGACTGGACCAAGACTAAAACAGGGCTAAACCAGGATTAAACCAGGACTAAACCAGGACTAAACCGGGACTAGACTAGGACTAGACCAGGACTAAACCAGGACTGGACCAGGACAGAACTAGGACTGAACCAGTGCTAAACAAGGGCTGAATTAGGACTAAACTGTACTGATTTTTGCACTTTTCAACCAGGACTAGACTGGGACTCGACCGGGACTGAACCAGGTCTGAACCAGGACTAAACCGGGACTAAACTGGGACTGAACCAGGGCTGAACCAGGACTAGACCAAGACTAAAACAGGGCTAAACCAGGATTAAACCAGGACTAAACCGGGACTAGACTAGGACTAGACCAGGACTAGACTAGGACTAGACCAGGACTAAACCAGGACTGGACCAGGACTGGACAAGGACTAGACCAGGACTAGACCTTGACAGAACTAGGACTGAACCAGTGCTAAACAAGGGCTGAATTAGGACTAAACTGTACTGATTTTTGCACTTTTCAACCAGGACTAGACTGGGACTCGACCAGGACTGAACCAGGTCTGAACCAGGACTAAAGCAGGACTAAACCGGGACTAAACTAGGACTGAACCAGGGCTGAACCAGGACTAGACCAAGACTAAAACAGGGCTAAAACAGGGCTAAACAATGACTAAACCAGAACTGAACTAGGAATAGAACAGGACTAAACCAGGGCTAAACCAGGACTGGACCACGACTGAACCAGGACTGGACCGGAACTGGACCATGACTGGACTGGGACTGAACCAGTACTGGACCAGGACTGAACCAGGACTAAACAAGGGCTAAATTAAGACTAAACTACTGTTTTTTTCACTTTTCAGACCTTTTCAACCAGATCTAAACCAGGACTAAATCTGTACTGAATTAGAGAAGGACCACGACTAAAACCAGAAATTTGGCCTGGACTGAATCAGGATTTAACCAGGACAGATTGTAAATGTTTTCAATATATTTTTTGATTTAAAAAATAAAAATTACTATGAACACTCCTCCATCAAACTATTTAACTCGGTAACAAAACATTTATCGTCCAAAAGTAAATGGACAAAAAAATATGGGAGAGTTAAATGTACGAGATATGTGAAGAGGGTTAAGCAAAATATTTTAATGAATAAATATTTGTTTGTGTTTTCAGTTCGACTGTGAGTTTCCTGCCTGCACCGATGATGGAGCAGCTCCCCTTCTCCCAGAGCTCCTCCGCCTGTGTCTCCCAGACGCTCCCCGGACAACAGTACACAGGTAAAACAGGCTGACTTTAGGACTCTAGAAATCCTGGTTTAGTCCTGGTTTAGTCCTGGTTCAGTCCTGTTTAAGTTCTGGTTCTGTACTGTTTTAGTCCTGGTTAAATGGACTGAAACAAGACTAAACAAAGACTAAACTAGGACCAAGGTACAAGGACTGGGCCTAAACTTGAACTACCAATCAGGGTACACTTTACAGTCCTGGTTCAGTTCTGGTGTAGTCCCGCTTTAGGCCTGGTTTAGTCCTGGTTCAGTCCTAGTTTAGTCCTGCTATAGTCCTAGTTTTAGTCCTGTTCCTTGATCCAGCATAACTACGGCAAAATTCTGATTAGGACTTTCTGGTAATACTAACAACTACTAGCATGCTAACAGTGCACTTCCTGATTTGTAGAGGATAAAATGCTTTGTTTTTACCTCAATATACTGTTTATGTACCGAGGTTTAACAAAATTTGCTCAAATACAAATGATCCAACTGATTCTAGTGAAGGTGTATGGCGTTTAAAAACACAATGGAGCGCTTCCTGTATCACCGCATGACATCACAAGGTGGAACAGAGTGTTTTTTTTACCTGTTTACGAGAAGAACAGAGCCTAAATAAGCAGGATTTGTGTGTTAAACTTGTGTGAATGAAGCAAAACACAATTCCGGGTCTGTTTGTGATGAGGAAACAACATTTTAACTTAAAGTCCTGGTTTAGTTTAGTCCTGGTTTAGTTCTGTCTTGCACACCTGTATGTTTCGCTCCAGTGGTGTTATGGGTAATAATCTCCCTGTCAGAGTCCGCCCTGGAGACCTGCCTCACTCCTCGCGGTCGGTCGTCTTTGTTTTCTCTCATCTCTGTGTCAGTTTCTCTGTTGCTCAAACTGCACTTCGGTAATGAAATAAACCTGGAGGAGCACCACTCCGCCTGTGTTGCTTGTGTTACCGGGGCAGTTGTTTCGTTCGTGATTCGATTTAAACTGCAAATCCACCAAATAAAACGCAGCCCGGAGTTAAGAAAATCAAAGAAAATCACGACTAGTGTTTAAAGGATTTATATTGCGTCTTTTTCCCGATCTGTTATAATGTTGTTTCCTCATCACAAACAGACCTGGAGTTGTGTTTTGTTTTGGTTCATTCACACAAACCCTGCGTATTTAGGCTGAGTTCTTCTCTCTGTTCCACCTTGTGATGTCACGTGGTAATACAGGAAGTGCTCCACTGCGTTTTTAAACTCCACACACCTTCGCTAAAATCATTTGAATAAGGTAAAAGGAGCTGTTAACTTGAAAACTAAAGCTGGAACTGAGGACTTTGAGCTTTGGAGATGTAGACAGACTAATAATAAAGGGTTACTCAAACATGACTGAAACAAAACTCAACTCCAGGTCTGTTTCTGATGAAGTAACAACATTTTAACATGACTTGAAGCTCACAAGAGTCAATTTTGTGTAATTTAGGCCCACTACAACTCACACTTTGAAGTAAAACTCTTACGTTATTATTAATAGTTAAGACAGGAGTGTCAAACTCAAATTCACAGAGGACCGACAATTAAAAACTGGGACTAAGTTGTGGGTGAAACTAAATATTTAAAATTTCAACAACATTTCTCTTCTTTCTTTTGTAATGTTAAACCTTTTCTTATTAAAATAAATGTTTAATAATAGTTTTGCTTAAACTTTGAATTCAGACCTCACGGGCCAAATATAATTATATTGCGGGCCAAATTTGGTTCCCGGGCCTGAGTTTGACATGTCTGAGTTAAGATATTAAACCAACTAAAGAGCAAAGTAGATTAAATAGCACTAAGAATAGTCGCTGAGTGCTGAAATTACTTTAACAAGTCTGGTGAAGTTGGAATACTAGTGTTTAAAGGTGCACTGTGTAACTTTTCTAGTTGTGTACGGCGCTACCTGAAAATATTTTGATGCCTAATTGTAGTAGTAGTAGTAGTAGTAGGTAGTGTTAGAGCACACACATGATTAGAACAAACCTGGTGAAGAGCAGCGGAGTTTAAAAACATGGAGGAACACTTTTGGCTTACCACCTAATGACATCACAATGAGGGACCAGCATTTTGAGCTCTGAGGCAGCTTAAAACATGAATAAAATGCTACTCCTCTTGTGTTTTTCATGAGTAAACAACATTATAACTTGTTTAAAATCTCCAGTAAGCAGGGACTGTTAACTAAACATAGAGGAACACTTGCCACTTAATGACATCACAAGGTGGTACCAGCATTTCTAGCTCTGAGACTGCTTAAAACGTGTGAATAAAACGCTAAATCTCATGTGTTTTTGATCAGTAAACAATGTTATAACTTGTTTAAAATCTCCAAAAAGCAATGACTGTTAGTAGAACAAACTAAACACGGAGGAACACTTGCCACTTAATGACATCACAAGGTGGGACCAGCATGAGACAGCTTAAAACGTAAATAAAACGCTACTTCTCGTGCGTTTTTGAGGAGTAAACAACATTATAACTTGTTTAAAATCTCCACAAAAAGCAGTGATTGTTAACGAAACAAACTAAACACGGACGAACAATTACTACTTAATGACATCACAAGGTGGGACGAGCATTTTGAGCTCTGACACTGCTTTAACGTATGAATAAAATGCTTCTCCTCATGCGTTTTTGAGGAGTAAACAACATTATAACTTGTTTAAAATCTCCACAAAAAGCAGTGACTTTTAATGGAACAAACTAAACATGGAGCAACACTTTCGGCTTACCACCTAATGACATCACAAGGTGGGACCAGCACACAACTCCTCCTGTGTTTTTGACGAGTAAACAACATCATAACTTGTTTAAAATCTCCAAAAAGTCAGTTTCATAAAAAGCGGTGGCTGTTAATGGAACAAACTAGCCCCAAATCGCCCATTACATAAAACTTGACATTTACCAAGATCCATGACTCAGCTCTTCTTCAAATTATCCTCAGTAGATTACAGATACCACAATTAAACTTAAAATCACATTGCGGATTTCAGAAAGTGCTAGAATAATCTCTGTTTTAAAGGTCCATTGTGTAACTTTTCTGGTGGAGGGTCAATCAAATGTCTTTTTTTATGGTTTTATATCTTAAAAATACTTACAAAAACAAGCATTCTGACTGTGAGCGGGGTCGCCTCTCCACAGATCTGACCTGTAACTTGGTCTGGTTTGGTCTCCATGAAGATAGAAAGGTTTAATACCATATTATGAAACTCCAGATCAAGTTACAGGTCAGATCTGTGGAGAGGCGACCCTGCTCACAGTCAGAATTCTTGTTTTTCTAGGTATTTTTGAGCTATAAAACCACCTATAATTGAATAAATAAAAAGTAGAGCTGTTTAATGCCATACTGTGGAGCTTTTCAGGCAGAGCAATGACATATCCACAGAAACAAGCAGGGTTAATGGTCAGATCTATGGAAAAGCAAGCCTGTACATGTTAAGAACTCATGTTTTTTTTTAGGTATTTTTGAGCTATAAAACCACCTGTAATTGAATAAATGTAAACGTAGAGCTGTTTAATGCCATACTGTGGAACATTCTAAGCAAAGCAATGACATATCCATAGAAACAAGCAAGGTTAATGGTCAGATCTATGGAAAAGCAAGCCTGTACATGGTAAGAACTCATGTTTTTGAAGCTATTTTTGAGCTATAAAACCACCTGTAATTGAATAATTGTAAAAGTAGAGCTGTTTAAAGTCACACTGTGGAACATTCCAAGCAAAGCAATGACGTATCCATAGAAACAAGCAGGGTTAATGGCCAGATCTATGGAAAAGCAAGCCTGTACATGTTAAGAACTCATGTTTTTTTTAGGTATTTTTGAGCTATAAAACCACCTGTAATTGAATAAATGTAAACATAGAGCTGTTTAATGCCATATTGTGGAACATTCTAAGCAAAGCAAAGACATATCCATAGAAACAAGAAAGGTTAATGGTCAGATCTATGGAAAAGCAAGCCTGTACATGATAAGAATTGATATTTTTTAGGTATTCTTGAGCTATAAAACCACCTGTAATTGAATAAATGTAAAAAGTAGAGCTGTTTAATGCCATACTGTGGAACTTTCCGGGCTTTCCAATGACTTTTCTACAGTACGGAAACAAGCAGGTGATGGACCCCCAACCAAAAAGTTACACAGTGCACCTTTAAATCCGCAGGTAGTTGTCCTTCTGGCTAACGACGTGTATTTTTCATGTCAGAGCCTAATGTAGTACCAGCGGGGAGGACGCGTCGTTATGAGGGGCAGATGAAGGTCCGCGGCCGGATTTGGGCAGAGTAAACAGATTTAATTGGCAAAAGGGTCGGACAGTCAAATTAAGTCACATATTCATGAACGTGCTTATAAATCAATTAGCGGCGTCCAATCGTAACTCAGCTCTGACACAGATCTGATTTTGAAGGTGGCGAAGTTAATTAGGAGTTTGAGTTAAAAAGTGAAACGTCGTGAATTTCTTTGCTGTAGCTTTTAATTCATTTATTTACTTTTTAAAACATTGACTCATTGAATTTTATAGTTCTAGTTTCTTGGTTCTATACTTTATTACAGTCCTACTCCACTAACATTGACTTTCTTTATTAATTTGAATAAATATAAAATAAAGATGGCTGAAATTTTCCTTTTTGTAGATTTTTTTAAAATGTATGTATTTTTTATTTTATTTTTTTGTTTTTGTTTATTTTATTATTTTATTTTTTGTATTATTTATTTTATTTATTATTTATTTTATTTATTTATTTATTTTTATTTATTTAATTTGACTAAACATAGAATTTCTTTTGTGAGTTCTTAGTTTTATACTTTCTTTCGGCTCCGTTTAAAGATCGCTGAATTAGTTTTAGCCAAGTAAATAATATATAATGCTTCATTTTATGAAAGTTAAGTTTGATTAATGCAGTAAGAATATTTTCCTCATAGAAAAATTGTAAATACTATTATACTACTATTATTAAAAATAAAATAAAACTGCAAATGTAAAAAGTGTAGTCAAATTTGATTTTTTTTT